AAACCTTGGTCGTGATATGTGGAATAAAAGAGATCAGCCTATCTATCTGTTGCTTGAGATTGTTCTAGAATAGGACCCATGTCTTAAAGGAAAGGGTAATCCATGGTAGTAGCTAGTGTTCACTCCATTTCATTCTCATTTTTATCAATCTGCTAGAAAATTTAGCAGTTTGGTTTCTGGTACATTTGGAGGCCATCAGGTATTTTTTAAATGCAGCCTCTCAAGAAAATGAAGTTTCATCAGAACCATCTGCAAGTCTACATTCCCAAGGAAGCTGGGTGGCAGACCCAACCTGCTTAGGATACACATTCCATGCAAATGTGTTAGGGCCCAAATGCTACTGATCTGAGATGGTCAGTGGAGGTTGCATTTATGGCTGTGCCTTCTATTATTAGCAATATGAAATTTCCAATCTGTTTACTTCTTTTTGTCACCTGAGATCGTGTTCATAATAAGCTACACAGAACACCTTCTACTAAGCACTGACTCCGGAAAGGAAACGATTGTAACCAGAAGTGGGCGTTGATGCCTAATACATGTAAATATAGCAAAAAAAACATTACAATGAAACTTATCTCCCAGATGGTACTACCATCTGGAACATAAATCCATAAAGGTACTTCTGTAGTATTTTTGTAATGAAAAATCAGGCCTTACTGAGAATTTTTAATGGCCACTTACGAAGTTCACTGTTAGCATTAGTGTTGATAAATGACAATTATGCATGTATGTATAAACTTGCATTCGTCAAGGTGGGATCTGGAAGCACTGGGACTCTGTTAAAGAAAGAATGTGTTCTAAACTAATTGGTCTCCGGGAGAATGCATGCAGCTGGTTTAGTAACCGGGGTGTGAAACATTTTAATTCCATCTAAGTGCAGAAAACAGCATTTGTCTATTAGGACTTTTCTCCTTGTTTTTCCATTTAAATCCCTCACAAATATTAACTAAGTACTTTACTTAATTCTCTCTCAAATTCTCATTTCACAGCTAGATGAATAAGAGAAAGACAATTAGTGATTTACTTGCAACTTTACAGTAAATAACAAATGGAGTCTCCTTGCTGTAATATGATTTTCTCTAAAGCAGATAGGAAAATGAAGATGGCTTTGTCTGAACACTGTTTAAGAAGTGTCCTTCTTAATGTCATTACCTTATCTGTAGTATACATCTGTAACATCCCGACTGTAATAATGGCTTTTTCCACTGATTATTTGCATGAAAACTCCCCAGTTTATACTCGTAACCTTCCTTTTTGAAAAAAAAAAATCAAGTGACTTCTACATAAAAACTTAATTTTCTATAGATATTTATAGAAATTGTATTCTTTTATGGATATTTAAAAGGTCACAGCCACAACAAGCCTATCTATATGCTACAACTTTATTTACATATTTATGTACTTTTCAACATTGAATTGGTTCCAGTGTTGCTGTTTTCTACAGGATGAGAGTTGAAGAACTTTAGGGCTGAATTTCAATGTGATCTGCCTGAGAAATGAGCAATAAACAGCAGACAGATTGATTTCCTAGAAACCTGTCATAATGAGATTGCACAGGATATAGGCCCAGCTTTAGGCTTATTCTTCATTGATCCCTGACTGAAAGCTAGGATACTGCTGACCATGAAATCCTACTTGTTTGCATATTAGAGCCTACTTAGGAAACATGGCCCCTGGATGATAATGACAAATTCTGGAAAGATCTTTATGTTTTGGCATGCATAGATGCGTGTGTGCGCGCACACACACACGCGCACACACACACACACACACACACACACACACAAAATGTGCCTCTTACCCTCAAAGTTTCCATCCCCACCTTAGGTCCCTATATTTGAAAACTAAATTGAAAACTTACTAACTTTTGATCCATTATGCATTTTATAGGTATAAATTCCTCAAATGCCAAGCCTGAGTAATTCACAAAACATAGATGAATTGGATTCTCTCATTTGTGAAGCTCGGCACTTCATCTTTGTCATACCTATAATGGAATAGGTTTAGTTATTAGCTGAATATAATCTTATAAAGATGTGTATTTGAAAGTAAAATGGAATTCCTGTTTTCATCCATGAGTGGCATATTTAAATTCTGTTCACAGTGAAGTGCTACATATAATTTTATTTTGGAATTTTAAATGTCTTTAGTGGATGCTTAGCTTTTTAGCATTAAATATGTCCTGCGTGTTCATTCTTAGCTCCCTGGTGCCAGAAAACTTCAACAAAGGGATATGGGAGAGTCTAACAACACTAATATTGTTAGGGAAATCAACATTAGTCAGTGCCCTTTCAGTAGAAGAGGATTGGGAACTCAAGTCCCATTTCCGTTTCTGTCTGTTTTTCACTGCCAGATGCATAGGATATTTCCCCAGAAAGGTTCAATGGAATATGACAGAGTCAAAAACCAAATTAGCAGCCCTGTACTGTCTCCATGAACTGGGGTGAAATATAGATCAGCACAAATATCTCCCCTTTTCTCTGTCAGACCCTCTTCTCTGTTTGTGTTTTTCTGATGAAAACAATTATAAATCTGATATGAGTCTGCTAAACTGAAAACTACCAAAATAACTGCATGATGCCAGCATTGGTATTACTCAAATCAGAGGCTGAAAATATATATTCTGGTTCACAAAAACCAGAAAGTAAGAACACTGAATTTTTAGGTCCTATTACTAGTATAAAAATAACACACTTGGCATTTTGGTTCATTTTATAGATTAAGAATATTGGTTGAGAATTGCTCTGAAATCTGAAATTATGACCATTCACTTATCCTTGATGATAGAGGATATTGTAAAGTTTCACTTTCTATGCTGACTATTGAGCTTAGATTCCTAGAGTGACTTAATATCTGAAATGGTTTCCTTTTAATAATAACAAGATTGATACTCCTTCCATAATTGTGTATGATAATTGGTATACACAGTACTTCTCTTCCTAAGAAACACTCATGCAATCACAAAATAATAAAACTCAAACCTTGCTTTGTGCCATTTTACCATTACCACTGTCAGCTATATCTACTCAAAAGAAAGAGATTAAACATTTATTTGCATTGTTAAGTGAGTTAAATTTTAGCCAACTAAGAATATCCAGAAGTCTGGGACATTTATCCCTGAAGTCTCCAACTTCCTTTTCTACTTAACTAACACTCACTTTAATATAAGTGCATTCCATGTGCCCTGCCAATCTGTCTTTTCTCTAGGTAAGCTAATGCCAACTTTTTAAATACAGATTAAGAAGGTTTATATCCTAGCTCTAAAAACTTAATAATTTAACATAATTTTGTCAAATTTAACCATGCAAAGGCTATTCTTTCCTTCATAGGCTATTCCTTTCACATTTCTCATCAAATTTCCATAAACTTTTAAAATAGAGAATATGGTTGTTCTTGGTGATGTTGTTGGTTGTTTGCTTTTGCTTTCATAGTAATGGTAAATAGAAATGAGAATGAACTAGGTGACCTTTACTTCCCTTCCACAGCCTAGTGAGTTTAGAAGTTGATGATTCTGTAAGAATTAATAAATTTGTCTAGAAAAGGCACAAAATGGAACTATCATAGTAGACAAGAGGGAATAGAGAAGGATGAATGTCATGGTAACTGAATATATCTGTTATAATATCATAAATGTACTATTATATGACTATGTAATATACTATATAATTAACTGATGTAATGAATTACATACAATGTACTAATTACATACTATATATGTAATATAGAATGTAATTAAAAATGCATCCAACCTTCCTTTTGATTGAATTCATGTTGTTGGTAATACCTCGAAGTTGCTTAAACTTCAAGGCATTACCTCACAATGTGTAAGTTGGTCACAGAGTTTAATAATTTCCTGTATATGTTCCATTAACTTAAAAAACAGAAAAATGTGTGTGTGTAACATCAAAACTATTAGAAATTATAAGTGAACCATCAATTAATAGACATGGAAGGCACTGGATTTGGTTAATATGCTGATAAAATTTTCATGTAAATAACTGCCACAATGAAATACAGGCAAACTGTACTTAATGCTACATGTATATATATACACATTATATATCAATCATGTAAATAAAGTAGTTTTTTATTGTGCTGCTATATTTTAATATGATAGAAAAGACTATGTTTCTTCATCTATTAGTGGTACTCCTTGAGAATCTACTAGTAAGTTATTATCTTTTTTGCCTACCTATCCTCAAATTGAAGATATAATTCTTTTTCTCATAAATCCTCAAAATAAAGATAAATCATTGTACAAATAATAATAATTTATTGTTATCTTGACTGGAATTATACATTCCTCCAAATGTTTAATTGGAAGGAAAATTATTTTTAAAAATCTTCAAATTATGCCTAAATAGAATATACATGCTTGGAATATATTGACACCACAGAAAAGGAATCACACTTGATCCTTCAAGGTATACCTTTTTTGACTTGTGTAGCATTCTAATAATGAGTGTCCAGAAATGTGAGCTCTTTGCTGTCACTCTCTGTCCACTTCATTCAGAGTCAAGCTATTTAATCTCTGTGAGACTTTAATTCACTATAACCTCACAATCACCATCCTCAGGGACTATGTCATGAGGAGACTAATGATGACAAGATAACATTATTCTTTCAAAAGTTAACCCTATTGGATAGGATACTGAATTCTGCTCTCAATTATAAAATATTAGAGCCCATGTCAAATATTCTTTGCAGTACTTTTTAAAATTGAGTAATTTAAAGTATTAGAGCGAGTTGTAGTAATATGGTAATATTCAGTAAAACAAAGTGTAGGGAAAGGAATCACATACCTTCACCAGGGTGGACAATCACAAATGGTAAATTCTTCAACAAAGCAACAGTTAGACTAGAAGAATAAATATGTTTCATGTGCCGAGTATTACCTCAGTTAGCCCTCACTATTTTATTTATTTATTTATATATTTATATATTTATTACCCTGTTTTAGAAATAAGGAAAACTAAATTCAGATCGGCGATATAGTTTACCTGAGATTGTAGTGCTGCCAAGTGTCAAGTGGGTGGGAGGTCTTGCTAAAAGGAGTATGCCAGTATAGTGTGCCCTCAGGGATGAGTGGAAAGCAGGCTGGGGGAAAAGGCCAGAAGAGAGAGTACCTGGAGTAAAAGTCCATTGTGTCACAATGGAAAGTACTTGGATTTTACAATAACACTTTGCTTGTAGCAAATCCCTGTCATCAGCTTGTGATCATGGGCAGTTTATTTTATCAGGACTCAAGTTCTTGTAAAATAGCAATAATAATATATTTCTCATAGGGTTATTGTGAAGCTTGAAATACATATGTGGAGAGACTCACACAGACACTGGTACAGACAGACATACACAGTTTGTTTTTTATTTGTTTATTTGATTTTTTTTTCTTAACTTTATGGAAGAAACTTGGAATCTATTGAAAAGTTCACTAGACTCTGCAAACTAGACTCCTAGAACTTAGGAATCACAAGGATACAGAGTGCTGTGAATAATGGGAAATCCAAAACTGGCTGTAATTTTGTAATTATATTTGTGAAGACAAATGGTGACGCAGGAAAGACACTCAGATAAAGCTACAGCTGTGAACCTGGGAATCAACATAAGGCTGAAATCCACAAGGTTGAAATTACAAAATCCTTTGTAAAAGTTGACAAAGGATTTTTAATAAAACTAAGAATCAAAACCCAAGAGAAATCCATATGCGAAAATGTAGATGATGGTGGTTAGGAGTTCCCTGATGGCAAGGATGGCTGGATCCTGACCCGGAAAGCCTTCCAATCACAATCAGCCTGGTGCACAGCCCGCATGAGGCCAGCATGCAGCCCCCAGGTTTGCGTGGAAGCTGTGCTGAGGTTCAGATGACAGCACCCAGGGATGGAGGAAACTGGGCTCTGAGGTACATGTGAGAGCTGGTTAAGGAGCTTGTGATGGAGCTGGCGGTTCATAGAATGTGATCCTAAGCACACTTCACGATGTGAAGTGACGTGAAGGTCGCTCAGTCGTGTCCAACTCTTTGGGGCCCCATGGACTATATATACACTCCATGGAATTCTCCAGGTCAGAATACTGGAGTCGGTAGCCTTTCCCTTCTCCAGGGGATCTTCCCAACCCAGGGATCAAACCCAGGTCTCCTGCATTGAGGGTGGATTCTTTACCAGCTGAGCCACAAGGGAAGCCCAAGCAACAATGGGTTGTGCTTAATTTAGAGGACTGAGCTTTCCATGGCTGCTCTTACGGGGAATAATATATCTGTTGACAGCAACGAAAGGCATCATTTTTGGAAGGCATCCATGTCAGTTTCATGACGTGGCGGAGCTGCAGTTTCTCTGGCTGAAAGAGACTCTCCACCATGATGCTTTGGCTGGGTGTTTCTAACCACTTGGCTTGCTGCCCCAGTGCCATCTCCTTTTAAGGGCCTCCTGTGACCACTGTACATAATAGTTCTTCCTCCACGCTCAGTTATTTTTGCATCACAGTAGCAAATGTCACTCAGTACCAACTCATGCTTAGAAGTAATGTAATTTCTGTTTATGTCATAATTACCCTAGCTTCCTTTATGCTTAACCTATGCAGTGGTTAATTAAAAAAAAAAAAACAAACAACTCTTAATCTAACAAAAAATATTTTTTAAATTGAGTAATTTTAACAATGTGGAGGGATATTCGGTTTTTATGGATAGAAGTGCCCAGTCTTCAACCAACTTTCCCTAACTCTGCTTCCCTTCCCCAGTCCCTGGGTATATCGGGGGAAGGAGGAGGCTTAGTGACCATATCATGAGAAGGAAGATTCAGTATCCCAGAAGGAGTCCTCAGGTCTCTGGGACCTCAAGGCATTACTCTTTATTTGACAAGTTGATGCCCATCCTGTGTTTAACTTGACTGAAAGTTGTAGTCATGTAACTGGTGATGTGGCTCAATGATGCTCCTTTGCCATGTCCCACTTGTCTCAGTGGTCCCTTCACTATGGCACTCCATGGTTTTGTTGCATCTTGTTGTTAACCCTAGCTTGGGTGATGCCCAGTCCTTTCTGTGAAGCCACTGTCCCAGCTATTTTCCGTGGTGTTCTCCACCCACAGATTCACTGGCCACTGCTTCTAGGTGGGTGCCATGAATGCCATATGGGAATGGAGGTCTCCCTGTGCCCAACTATTCTACTCTGCCAAGTTCACATGAAGGCATCAGAGTGCATTGGGGGTCATTTGAGGGTGGCTTATTTTCAAAGTCCTTAATGAGGAATAGAAACAAGAGAGTTCTCTGCCCTTGTTGCTTTCCCCAGCTGTCTGACACCCCCTAACCACCATCTCCCCACCCCAACATTGGTGATCTTTATGTAGTTTCTCCAGGGAAAGAGGGCGGGGGTGTCAAGGTCATATGCTTCTCTATACATATTCTTAATCTAGCCCTTGCCAATCAGGACCTCTGTCATCTGCTCACCTCTGGGCTTTCACTTTTTGATCATAAAGGATCTGGCTTTAGCTACCCTAACTGAGCACTGTACGTTTCACTCTTTGAGAACTATTGCTATAAGAAATGCCAGTTCCTTGTTGACCTTTTTGCTCAGAAAAATCTTAGGTTCAGAAAGGCAAAGGAGGGAATAAAAGGGATTAAGAGTTTCTAAATATGGCCTTAAGAAGCAAGAGGTAATTACATTTCTATTTTCTTCAATTTGATTTGTAAAGTTGTACATAAAAACATAGGAATATATTCTAGTGTATCAGGGGAAAAGATAAACTAGCATTTGTCAAGGGACTGATACCCCCAGGGTGCTGCACTGTTATTTCCTCTTCCCTTAAGTAGAGTCTGTATAAGGATCTCACATATTGCTTGCTACGGAATAGGCTACATGATCTATCCCATTCTTTAAAATTTTATCTGTAACTGAAAATTTGAATAACTTTTTAAAATGTCGAAGCCTTTTAATTTACATTTTCCCTATGAGAGCCTCACAGTAGCCCTGTTGGTGTGGAAGAAGCTTGTTGGTAGATCTGTTTTAGAAGTAGAAGCTGAGGTTCCCGGAATTTCAATGACTGGTTCCAATGTCGAATAACAGAGCATGGTGGATGAGAAAGGGAACGTCATCTTGCCCTTCTCTTCCAAGCTTCTTCATGTTCTCATAGCATTAGAGTAAGTGATGGAATATTTAATGTGCCATTAAAGAATCTGCCTGCAATGTGGGAGGCCTGGGTTCAATCCCTGGGTTGAGAAAATCCCCTGGAAAATGGAAAGGCTATCCACTCCAGTATCCTGGCCTGGAGAATTCCATGGACTGTGTAGTCCATGGGGTCCCAAAGAGTCGGACATGACTGAGCAACTTTCACTTTTCACTTTCATTTTCTATCTAAGTTGTGTAGTATTGTGGCAATAATGTTGCCGAACGCTAATCTTAGTACATATCTGACCAATTTACTTAAATTTAGTTAAACTTAAGGACAGAAGAGACAAAATATTATAGAGTTCCCACCAAATCAAATTCTGTTACCTCAAACCATACACTGATAAATGCCATAAAATGGTTTTAGGAGGATGCAAAATGCAATAAATTTTCAAAGGTGAACATTTATCATCCTAAGAAGTGCTCCTTAATTCCACTAGAAAAGAATGTAGTTTTTGGAAAACAGTTGCTTTATGAATGTTAATCTTTATTTCTGTGAGGCCTCAGCTATATAAGTCATTGAGTGCATACAGCCTAGGGAGAAATTATCTCATCTGTGTTAATAGCTCCTATCTGATGAGGTTGTCATGAGATAACACATAAACCAACTTTAACAGTGCCTGGCACAGAGCTAAACTGTAAGCTCTTGAAAGCAGAAATTCTTGTCCGTTTTCTTTACTACTGTAATTCTAGTGTCTATAACAGTACTTAACCTAGAAAGATGCTTTAATATTTATGTCAATTAATTGAACAATTTTATTTAATCAAATAGGCACTCCAGACAATGTGAAGCTAATCAGCCCATGCCATTGTTTCATACCATGAACGCTTTAAGTCTGTTAGCACTTTAGATTTGACCTGCTCTTCCTCACATTAAATTGTTGTTTTTCTGGTGTATGGTATGCACATGTGTGTCTGGGTGGGAAGGGTGAGGTGGGAAGTTTAAGTATAAAAGCACTAGGAAATAATGCTTTTATACATAACCTTACTAATTGCATCATTACTTCTCCTTTCAAAAGATCTATTCTACTCTTTCTCTTTTCAAAAGAAATTTGTGCCGACTTATGTTAGAGAACAATACAATGTGATAAAACAGAAGGAAGAAAATTTCATTCAGTAAAAGGAAAAGAAAAAAATAGCTGAAACATACAAGCCATTGCTGTTTGTGCATCACAATGGACTCAGCATTTATACAGCCCTTGAGCTTTACAAATGCCACCCAGCAGGGCTAGCCTCATCTCATGGCTAAAGAGATAAGTTAGGGAGCCGTTACACAGGACATTTTTGAGGAGTAGTTAGAGTGTTCCATAACACCAACTTATTTCTCCCTCTGTCCTTACGTCAGTGTATAAATGTTAGGATACTGATATGTGAGAGAGTAGCTACATGATAGCTTGACTTTGTTTAGAGAATTGCATGGAAATGTACTAAGGAGGTAGGTCTGAATAAGGAAGGCACTGCCGGCAATGTGCTGGACACATTGGAATGGCATTTAGAGCTGACCGAATTAGAATAATACAGAGCCTACAGAATATTGTAGAAACGTTGTTGGATACGCCTTATTTGGGTTCCATACTTGTAGGGTGAGATCCTCTTACGTATCTTTAATTATTAGAAGACACATAGATTGAAGTCAGGACTAATAGTAAGAATTGCTTTTTAAAAAAATTCTGGTCACTGTCATCTCCATTTATCTATCATTGCTAGCTTTACTCTTAAAAATGTTCAGAGTGGAATCTATCCCTTTTATATGAATGCTAAGAATATAATGCTGTTTAGTATTATAATTATTTTATATTTATTTGTCATGCATTAAACATGAATTCATCAACAATTATTACACATTAATTCATCAACAATTTGTAGCAAAAATAAACAAGAAATAAGCTTTATAAAATCAGTTACATTTATAATTGCTGTGCTGTTAGGATTGCCAT